CGGCGATATCGTCACTACATCGTGCACTGGACATACCTCTTTTTATGAGCACTTTCTTAAAATTGTTCACCCATGGAAATAATTCTAAAGGAAGTAACGCGATATTGAATGGAGAAGAAAACTTACAAAAACGGCTGATACAGGGTTTAAAAAAAAAAATTGGGATCGTAGTAATACAATGAACACCAAATATCTCATTATTAATAATATCAGATTATTACATGGCATTTTTCATATCAGATGTATTATTAGCACAAGGTTCAATATCAGCCCTCGAGCCTTCGGCTCTTGAACTGATATTGAACCTTGTGCTGATAATACATCTGACATGAAAAATGACATGTTATGATCTTTTTATCATATGCTTTAACAATGGAGAAAAAATAACAGTTTAATATATTGATCCTTTTACGTGGTTCTCAAGTAGAAGTTCAAAAAGTGAAAAGTTTACGGATGTCGGTCGCCAAATGTATGAAACCATTCTATCATATGCCTCAACAGAGGAGAAAACAACAGTATAATATATTTTTATATTGACGATAAAATAAAATTCAACAAAATATAATGAACACTGTTTGGAAAAGTCAACATTTGTAAAGTAACTTTCAAAATTATGCTGGAAACTTTGAAAAATGCATTTATTGCATCATTTGTTTTTTTTTTTTGCATTTTACGTAATATACTTTCCTGTTTCATAATAATTGTTTTGCACCCTACTTTGTTATGGTCTTCACTGAAAACGTACCATTGAGGTGTATTTTCCGGAATTTGCTGAGTAACGCCGGAATGCCATGCGATAACGTTACGGACGGAAAGGCATGTGATAATAGGTGGAGGCATGTGAAATTTTTTTCATATCAGTCCGCTAAACACCATTTCAGAAAATATGGAATTCACTTAAATTAAATGCTATTATCATACTGTAAAAATTATAAGTTATTTACTCCAAGTCGTAATTCCATCGTATAATATATAGTATCGTTAAAGTTCATCAACATTATCCACAATTTGTTTTCCGATTCAAATATTGACTAAATTTCTGTCACGGAAAGTATCTTAGCGGGTAAAAACGAATATTTTCCATTGAGTGCCATTCCTCTTCTGTGCATCTACAAAATAACAAATGTGTTAACGAAGTTGAATTCTTTTGTTATGTTGGAAAAATTTACATTATTTAATAATGAAAATTAGAGAAAAATATATTTCACTTTAAGTTTTGCTTATTGATTTGTCCTTGAAATTTAAAATGTTGTATTTTGATTTTGTACAGTAAAAATCGTTTGTTGCATTAAGATATACATTTAAAACAGAAAAATTACTCGGATAGTTTCTACAATAATATTGTGGTTTAATAAAATAAATTATGGTCCAAGAAATTAAAATGGTCAAATTGGTGTATTCGATATATTACTTGATTATTCCTTGGGCTATTATAGTCCCAGATTTTTCGTTGTTATATTTTGAATATAGTACTAATGAATAGAATTTGAGGGGCATGAATAACATTTGAAAAAGGTTTATGTTAAATATTGGGCGGGGTTTTTATTAAATTTTCAACAGAAACGCGTTTTATAATCGAATTTATTCACTGTTGTTATATGTCCAGTGGCAAATGTTACAGTTAAATCGACAGTGCAAATGACGGCGTTAATCTTGAAATGTTAAAATGAAATTAAAAATTAGTTTTCCATTTAAGTTAAAGATATACAAAACGGAATTCAGAAATGGTTTTAATCATTCAGGTTTTTTTCTAAGACTGTTTTGCTTTCTTTCTGAAAATAGGGAAGAACGAAAAATACTTTCAGTTTGTTTGTATTGACTCATCTAAAAAATGCATAAATTTTTTGTTCGTTGTAATGAGCAAGGGAAAGGGAAAATGGTCTATGCATGAAACACTGTTTTCTTGTTTGACTTTATTGCATCTAATAGAATGGTTTGAAATATAGAACCACATGTTGTTTCCGATATGACTTATAATCGAGCACACCCTTATTAGTTAGATAACCTAGAATAGAGTGTAACATACCTGGAAATGTATTCTAGTGTACCATTTCATTTATCTCAGACGATTCTACATCCAATATTTATAAAACGAAAAATGCACATAATTAAATAACATATATGCATAAGTACTTTTTTTCTCTCTCTCTCAAAATACAACTTGAAGACACAAATAAATATCCTTTCAATCCCACTACAAGAAAGACGTGCGTATCAAATGACTTAAAACATAAAATGTGATGAACTGTATTCAAGATCCTTTTGATAGCAATAATTCTACTGTTCATAAAACTTCGTTAAGTGAGTAGATGGTCAGCTTTATCTTAAATTTTTATTGGGAAAATGAAAAGAAAACCATTACAAAATGAAATAAAATTCTTTAAAATGTTATATTCTGAAGATTCGTTCTTAATATTTAAGGTGTATTTTAAGTTAGCGAAAGCCTAAATAATTGTCCATTCCTGGGAAATAATGGGCGTCGGCCCTACGGGCATCCGCTCCATTATTTCCCAGGAATGGACAGGTATTTGGACTTTCTCTATAACGTGATCTGTAATTTTACAGATTGTGTAATTTTCCTGATTGTGACATTTTGATTGAATTTGGATTTGCATGGCGAGTGATGCATGCATGGCAGGAGACGCTTTCTATGTTGATGAACCATATCTCGCTCCTTTTAGAGTTCATACGATTTCCTCGGTTTTTGTTTATTATCTGATTTATGTCCTCTCAATCGATTTGAACATCGGTAAACAGTTATCGCCTTAATTAAACCATATGTTCGACCGTCATCAAAATGTCCCTTTTTTACACTCCTCAGGTTGAATTTGCATACATTGTACTTATAATACGGGGTAACCCATAAACAAAAACTCCAGCCATCATTCGCACAGATTTTCAGCTGACGTTGGGCATCCTCGCCTATAGAAAACGAAAACCACAAAATTTGGCATGTCTAAAAATCGCTTCCTTTTATATAAAACGAGTTTATGTTTTTTCCGTTGGACCGAATTGTGGCTATAAACGACCTATGGTCACACTTGAATTAAAGGATACAAAAGATACAATTAAATCTGCCTTATATCTTGATTCACATGTAGAATTTGACAATGCTGGACGGTTGAGAAGAAAACATTACGACAAAAGAGATGATTTCAGCTTCCAAATTGTGAACTTTTCATATCTATGTAGCAACTTTCAAGAAGTACCAGCAAAGGGAGAATATATCCCCCAGTTAACACGATTTTCAATAGCTTTTATTTCCTATCAGGATTTCCTTGATAGAGGGTTGCTGCTTACAATGAAACTATCAAATCCAGGGTTCCAAACGATAAAAATGAGGTCATCTCTTCGGAAATTTTACGAAGGATATCACGAGTTGGTTGACCGTTATTGAAAATCTGTTTCATGGCAACGGATATATTCCAATAGTCGTAACAACTCTTTTTCCTCTAATGTGACATCACAGAACTTGTTCTTATATGAGCAACTCAGCGGGTGCCACATATGAAGCATGAACTGTTTACCTTCCAGATCATCCCCGGTTTTTGGCGGGGTTCGTGTTGCTCAGGTTTTTTTTATGTTGTGTCTTTTAGACTGTTGTTTGTCTTTTGATCATTTGCCGTTTTTTTGCGGTGACGTTTTCAGTTTATTTTTGACTTATGGGTTTGAATATCACTTTGGTATATTCCACCTTTTATGGATTTTTGGAAAAATTTCTTCAAAACTTGACTTGCCCGAATTATTTAAGTTTACTATGCTGACAGATATTTATTTGATGTTTTGGTCATTAGTGTGATGCCTAAAGTTTTCGAATCTATTTGTTGTACACAAGTGTAAATACAATCGAGGCGACGGAATATTACCGATGTTCAAATCTCATTTAACAAGTATAACAAAAATATCGAACTCCAAGGTAAATTCAAAATGGGGGAAGTCCATTAAAACTGACAAAATCAAACGTTATCAACCAACGGAACGAGCGAAAAAAAAAATCATATTCCTGAATTTGGACAGGCATTTTCTGAAGGAAATGGTGGGTTAAACCGGGTTTTATTTCTAGCTAAACTCTCATATGACAGTTCTTGAAAACTCCATATACTTATGACGTGGATCGGTACTTACACACCCCGCCATTGTGTTATTGTGCTATTATCAATTTTGAGTTCTTGTCTTTCATTTTTGCTTATGTACTTTGTCTATATCCCAATTTGTGTTTCTTTGTTGAAATAGTTTTTATGGTGATTAGGATTATATTACAATGTTGACTGCTGTTCCCCAATTTTTGACGTTTTTACCTATTATGTCTGTTTGTTTTGCTCACACATTGTTGTCAACATAATGCAATTTTATGCGACTGTCATACAAGTGAGAGGTTTAGCTAGCTATAAAACCAGGTTTAATCCACCATTTTCTACATAAGGAAATGTCTGTACCAAGTCAGGAATATGACAGTTGTTTTCCATTCGTTAGATGTGTTTGAGTTTTTTATTGTGCCATTTTAATAAAGGACTTGCCGTTTTGAATTTCCCTTGGAGTTCGGTATTTTTGTTATTTTTTCTTTTTTTATACAGATTTGATAAATACAAATTAAGGTAGCAAAACAAAAACTGATGGAATCGGATGAACTCCAAATATAGCGAGACCGGGTGCGTCTCCATGTTTAACATCTTCTGTGCATGCATCACTCCTATTGCGAATCTGCCACCACACTCAGTCTAAATGTCAAAATCAGAAATAGGACACCATCAGTATCTTGACAGATGAAACGACTATTCAGCTGGTATATAAAAATCTTAGACCGCAAACAAAATTTCGCTAGAGAGATGCGACACAGACACAACATATCGGGCAATCATTTGGTAAACTATCCTCTTGCCGAGTTTGTGTGTCTTTGCGGTTGACCGATACTTTGCCATTTACTATCTTATGTTGTTTTATTCATTTAATCTACTATTGTTTTAAGTAATAATATTCGATTTGCTTTAATACAGATCTGTCAAAGGTATGCCTACCGTTCCTAGTATAGCAGCTATTGAAAAGGGCGGACAAGTGCTTGCTTCCGCCTCTGGAACTACTGCCATAGTTGTATTTGGAATTGGGCTTGCCATCGGCTTCGTTCTTGGAGTTTCACTTTCTCATCAGAATGTTAGACAATCACTTAAAGACATTAAACAGGAAATGGTGGGAAACTAAGTTCAACAGCTACAAGTATAATAAAAGACAAGTAAAAACAAGTTTACAAGAAAGGAAGCTTTTACTGTAACCTTTCTAACTGCTTTATTTTCTCACTATATTCAAATTGGGTATCATCATTGTTGTGCAGACCATGATCATATTTTCATCATTCATTTGATGGTCCAACTCTGCAGGAGAACGCACAATAAAAATTTCAAAATAAAATGCTATACCACTATTTTTCACAGCCGGAAAAACAGGATAACAATACTTTTGCCCTTGCAGTCAGAAAGTTTAGACAGAAACTATGCATATCACTCTGAAAAATTGGGATACATTTGATTTAACGTTATTTTTTTTTATGTTATTCAAATTTTAATGAATATTGTAAATCGTTTGATAAAAATTGTTTTGTGAAGCATTATGTGTGGCTGAGTGAAATAAATGTGTCTTGTCTTGGTGTTTACATGCTTATAGTCCTACTACATCCGGTATGGAACTGCCGGCAAAATCGATGTCTGGTATTTTGTCCTCCTAGAAGGTTAAAATCTAACCGTTTTCTATTTTCCTTCCAGATGGTAGGTGTAAAAATTACAGATTATAAAAATTCATGATCATCCAAATGTTTTTATATTTGATTAAAAGAAAAATATAGACATGATTAATTGCGAACGAAAATCCTATAAATACAATTCCTTAATTCAATAGAATTTTGTAGGAAACAAAGTCGACACAATTGTCATGTATTCAAATATAGCATTCACCTAGATAAGAAAATATAGCAATACAAATGGCATCATTTATTTAAAGCATCCAAAGAGTAAACGAACCCTCAATACTACTGTAGTCAGCACGTCTGTGATGACATGAATTATCATTGATATGGTCATAATTATAAAATTAACTGTTTACATGTTTTTTTCGAAATACTAATGCTTTTCTACCCAAGAAATAGACTACCTTAGCTGTATTTGGCAAAAATCTTTCGGAAGTTTGGGTCTTCTATGCTCTTCAACTTCGTAATTTATTTGCCCTTTATGACTTTTTTTTATTCCAGCGTCACTAGTGAGTCTTTTGTAGACGAAACGTGCGTCTGACGTACACAATTGTCATCCTGGTATCTATAATGAGTTTATTTACATTCATGTCCTTAATCATATAAACAAGCAAGTAACACAGAAGTCCATGCATAGTGAAATAACAACCATTACTATAAATACAATTTAACATTGAAGCATTTTAGTACAGTAATATACTTTAAACACGCACCATTTATAATCCTACCGGGATGTCGGGTGAAAGCTAGCAAATATATAGCGTGCAGAAATCAGCAACGTAATGTAAAGCGTGGCTTAAATTTCAAAACGAGACTAAGTGTAGGTAATTCGCAAGAAACTAGGCGCTATTGCGGGAATTGAAACATCAGTGCTAAAAACAATTAAAAAATAACTTTGACTTTACCTCACTTGGTGTGAATACAAAAATACATGTGACAGCATTTATTTAAACTTGGCACCCTTTATTTTAACGAACCCCAAATAACATACATATTCCACAGGGTTTAAAAAAAAACTCGCCATAGATACTAGGATTTTTCGGACCACTCTTTATTCGAAATGCATTTTGTCGTCATATTGGCTGTAAGCACACGATAACAGTTTTGCTTTTCCATAATTGTCCTCAGGGAAGTACCAATAAAATAACCGCTGTCTCCTTATTGTTTATATATATGTTAGTTCCGTATAAACAGTAAGTTCAACATTTAAGTCCCAAAGCAAAACGTATTTAAATGGGGGTGTAACTTAAACTAGTCAAATATAACTGAAGGAAGGAATGGTCATTAAACGTTTGTCTACATAACTATCTTCATATAGAATAAAAAAACAACCACTATATATATATAATAGACAAATATCACAATACCCTATTAATACTATCTGGAAGTCCAGATTTACTATCCAATCTTGCAGCTCTGGGACAAAGGTGTAGCAAAACTGAAGAGTTTTGACGATTTTAAGACTTAAAAACATGCCAAGACTACACGGTTAAAGATATATTCTACGCAAGTTCATATCTGAATTAAATGTACCTTAAGGAAAAACATTGTAAGCCTAATGAAGCCGAAATAACTCTTAAACAAGCGGCCCAAATCGCAATTTTTGTTGTGATTTTACATATCGAATCATTTATTGGGGTAATCGACGCCTTACAAGATTAGCTTGTACTTAAGTATAGTTTCAGAGCATGTGTTTATATTCCAGGAATTTGCAGTAGGGTGTTGAAGGTCATACATCTTGTGCAATATAGATATAATGTTTATGTAGGAACTTTAGGCTTATCGGTTATTATTCAATAAGTTTGCAATGTGAAGCTCGCCTGTTGTTTGTATCCTTACACAACTGAATGCACGTCTTCATGTGCGTGCGATATGTTTTAACAAGAGGGGCGAAAGATACCAGAGGGACATTCAAACTCATAAATCAAAAATAAACTGACAACGCCATGGCTAAAAAAGAAAAAGACAAACAGACAAACAATAGTACACAAAACACAACATAGATAACTAAAGACTAAGCAACACGAACCCCACCAAAAACTGGGGGATGATCTCAGGTGCTCCAGAAGGGTAAGCATATCCTGCTCCACATGTGGCACCCGTCGTGTTGCTCATGTTAGTACAAACCCGGTAAATAGTCTCATTCGGTAGGTCACATTCGTGAAAAGGGAACGGGATTATAGTTACGACATAAGGAACATATCCGCTATCAATTTTCGATTCAGTCAAACACTTACCTTTAAATCGTCCTATAGTTATTTCCAAGTCCAACAACAGATTTGCACCATCTGGAAAAGAAATTGTAAATAATTCATAGTATAGTTGAAGGAATGTACTTATACCTTTTTAGTATATCATTAAGTCTTGAAAGTTGAACATCTTCGTGAAGCCTCGAGACGCATCGGCTATAACAAAACACTGCCTAAATTTTTCTTGAATGTCCAAATAATACATCGCAGATAACAAAAGTAAATTCTCTATTAAACTCATTTTAACATGCACACTTGTTTCTGGACGACTCTTTATTCGCAATGCATTTTGTCAAATTGTCGGTAAGCACGATAACATTTTTGCCTTTACATAATTGTCCACAGCGAAATTCAGATACAGTAACCTCTGTCTCCTTATTGTTTATATGTTCGTTCCGTGTAGCCAGTAAGTCAATAGCCCTGTTTACATAAAAGAGATCTCTAATAGAGCCAGTGCTCCAGGTTAAGATGCATCAGTTTGTATAGAAGTTTTGTGTTTTTTCAAGTCCAAAGTCTGAAAGCTGATTTTAGACAATATCAAAGTAAAAGGTTGATTAGTTTATTCACAAAGTAATCCAAATCATATATTAAAAGCAAATAAAACAGAGGCCTTTTAGAGTATGTGTCGGTCTTAAACCATGGCCACTGTCATGCATTAGAGACTAATATATTGCACATGACCAACATATTTTTTGTTGATCTTATATATCCTTTTTACTGTTTAACAGTTTCTCTATATCTACAACAGATTTTACCCAAAACGCATAAATGGTTAAACATCATCATTGAAGAGCAACGCCTCCTTCAGGAGTCGTCCAATGAATTGATCGTATTGGCATTTGTGTAGATCTTTATTGGCTGATAATGTTTGGTGTTTACAGGTACAAATTTCTACTAACTAATATAGTTTTTGATATACATAATTGTCAAAATTATAGAAATGAGTCAAAATAACGTTTACGGTACCAATTGTACTGCACCTGGCCTTGCGGTCATAAAACTTTCAAGCACGATTTTCGTACTCAGACTCAGAAATCAACCAATCAAAATCATGGATTTGGTGTTTCGAGCACAAATTTTGTACTCCGAGTACTGAGTAAAGTTTTATGACCGAGAGCCCAGATGCGCATTTCGAAATTAATGTCTCTTCAGTGATGCCTGAGGCCAAACTTTTTGAAAATCCAAAACTTATTTAAAAATTAAAAAGCTGATAAAATCAAAAATTGACAAAAAGTATAGCCAAGTCAGGAAAGGCATAAAGAGCTCTACACGTGGGAGATATATTACTTTATTGAATTTTTTTTTAAAGATTTTGTGAAAGCAAATTTCAATGACACAATGATAAAAAAATGTCAATCAATGTCAATAACATAATAATAATAAGTCTTTTTTTAAAGAGGGTAGCACAGTTACATTGTAGCTATAAGTTCTATAACGTTTCATACATATAATGTTAATTTTGTTGATCTTGTATTGTTAATCATTTCTGTTGTTTACAGTTTCTTCTTAATGATTCGTATTAATTTTATTTGGCTTTTTTTTACCTTTTTTATTCGATCGTCTCTGATGAGTCTTTTGTAGACCAAATACGCGTCTGTCGTACAAAATTTTAAGTCTGATTATGGCAAAAACACAAAAATAAGTTAAAAATCGTCATCTAAAAAATCTCCTTAAGGGATTATTCAGTGGTTTCTATTGTTTTTCATTTTGTAGATCTTGTTTGGCTGATGATTTTTGCTGTTTAAGGGTTCTATCTTTCTATCATACGTTTCGAGATAATAAGCGAAAAATCGTCATAAACCTGATAAAGGACTTTACTCCTAAAAGGAGACCTGATATGATTTTTTATTTTTGTCCAAAAAGATTTATCTTATGCATAACTTCCCGTAACAAAACACCGATAGCATAAGTGTCAAATAATTGTTAAAATATTTTTTAAATGTATCGATCTATTGACCTGATCAATATGCATATTTCCATCCCGAAAGTCACTCAGAACGAGGCTGCTACGTCACATGTTCCAATCAGTCATATATTGGTAGACGGCAATTGTGCAAATTTATTTTCGATTACATGTATTTACTAACTACACGCATGCAGTACTAAATGATGGTTCTGTGTGCTGTTGTTAGAAGAGTAGTGACATGTGTTTATTTTTTTCGTTTTTTGAATAACCAACAGAACAAGAAGGCTTCGAGATGGGACTTTGTTTCAAACCCTCACCACAAGCTTTGCTCCGCCCACTTTTCCAAGCCATGTTACGATCGTGACACAGATGTTGGGATATCTCGAGTGTACTACTATAAGGCCATCATAGCCCAAGAAGCTGCAAGTGTCATATGGGGTGATTGATAAGGCAATAATTAATTCACATGCTCCGACTTTATGTACATCATTGATCACCTGCCGTGGGCTAAAGTGAGGTAAAAAAATATTATTGTTACATTCATAGAGGTATTCCCACTTGCTGTGTAATGAATAGCTGTAGAATGGTCAAACAATACATTATGCACCACCCAATTAAAACAACTGTAAGTTCTGAAAACTAATAAAAGATGTGTATATAACTAGTTTTTCCTTAGGTAATAAAAAGCAGATAATAAAGGTGTATTGCAATCAATATAAAAAAGAATTGATTTAAAAAAGCATAACAATAAAAGCAAAATAGACAATGGTAGGATAATGTAAATTATATCTTTATCATCCGAATATTGCACACCGAAAATATAATTATTGACAAAATCAGAACATGTAAACTACCACATTTTTTAAAATTTGATATATATATATATATAGATTACTATGAATATTCATCATACACACAATTTTTAAATGGGGAAATTTTGGACCTTTTAGACAAAGATATTGAGAAATATTCAAAATTAATTTATGAGATTGAAACATCGGTGAATTGCTATTATTTCCTAGAAATGGACAGTTATTTGGACTTTCGTTAACTTAAAATACACCTTTAATATTAAGAACGAATCTTTAGATTATAACATTTTAAAGAATTTTATTTCATTTTGTAATGGTTTTCTTTTCATTATCCCCGTGGTGTACCCTATAATCCACAGGCAAAATTTAAGATCAAGCTGACCATCTACTCACTTAACGAAGTATTTATGAACAGTAGAATAATTGCTATAAAAAAATCTTGAATAAAGTTTATACAGATTTACCAGCCACATCCACGCAGTCGGAGTAAGATGAAAGCAAAAAGACAGACAGATCCAAATCTGTAACTTAAGTACATCAGTCCGCAATATCCAAAAGGATAGCCGGACGTTAAAACCTATCATCTATCTTTATCCAGATTTATGTTTTTCAGTCATTGGATACGTACGTCTTTCTTGGGGTGGGATTGAAAGGATATTTATGTGTCTTTAAGTGGTATTTCGGGGGAGAGAAAAAACTAATATTTATGCATATATGTTAATGGATTATGTGTGTTTTTCGTTTGATAAATCTTGGATGTAGAATCGTGTGAGAAAAAGTTACATGGTGCAACTAGAATAAATTTTCCAGGTATGTAACACTCTAGTATAGGTTATTTAACTAATAAGGGTGTGCTCGATTAGAAGTCATATCTGAAACAAAATATGATTCTATATTTCAAACCATTCTATTAGATCAAATGAAATTAAACAAGAAAACCTTGTTTCATGTTTCATGCATAACCAAACATTTTTTTTCGATCCCTTTGCTCATAACAATGAAGAAAAAAATGTTATGCATGTTTTAAAGTCTTAAAATGCAATACAAGCAAACTGAAAATATTTTTCATTCGGCTTCCCTATTATCAGAAAGGAGGCAAAAAATTTTAGAAAAAAAAAAAAAAAAACCCGCGTGATTAAAAACTTTTGTAGATTACGTTTTGTATGTCTTTAACGTAAGTGGAAAACTACTTTTTGATTTCATTTAAACATTTCAAGATTAACGCCGTCATTTGCACTGCCGATATAACTGTTATATTTGCCACAGGATATATAACAACTTTGAAGGAATTCGATTTTGTTACGCGTTTCTGTTGAAAATTGAACAAAAACCCCGCCCAATATTTAACACAAGCCTTATTCAAATGTTATCCATACCCCTCAAATTCTATTCATTAGTACCATATTCAAATTATGACAACGAAAAATCAAATAATATACCGAATACGTCATTTTGACCATTTCAGTTTCTTGGACTATTTATTCTATTTAACCGCAATATTATTGTAGAAACTATCTGAGTAATATTTTTTTTTTTTGTACATAATAAAATGGAACAAACGATTTTTGCTGTACAAAATCAAAATACAGCAATTTAAATTTCAAGCAAATGATATCTTAAACGGTGAAAGTAAAAGCAAATGTGTAAGTGAAATATATTTTCTCTAATTTTCCTTATTGTATAATGTTAGAGTGTTCAATATTACAAAAGACTTTAACTGAGTTAACACATTTGATATTTTGTAGATGCACAGAAGAGAAATGGCACTCAATGGAAAATATTCGTTTTTACCCGCTTAAATACTATACGTGACAGAAATTTAGCCAAGATTTGCATCGGAAAACAAATTGCGGATAATGTGGTGGAATTTTAGTGAAAACGATACAAATATCATACGATAGAATTACGACTCGCAAATAAAAGCTGTTTATTAATAATGAGATATTTGGTGTTCATTGTATTACTACGAGGTCATCCCAATTATATATATAAAAAAAAACTCCATTTAATATCAGCCGTTTTAGTAAATTTTCATCTTCATTTAATATCGCGTTACGTCCTTTAAACTATTTCTATGGGTGAACACTTTTTAAGAAAGTGCCCATGGAAATACCCAAAGGGCAAACGTCCGGATGAATGAAGATAGACAATAGAAAATAACTCTCCATTCCTGAAAATAATGGAGAGTTTGAACAAACGATTTACGTCACAGGTGTATTTTAATTTAATTGACTGTTTTTTCAAAGAAATTCTCAGAATTGCTATGCATGTACAGAAAAATTAAAGAACTCGCAGAGAGACATGTGGACGACATTTTGATATATATCCCTAGACTATGACTCAGGCACATAAATATCAGGCGCATATCTCCGCCCATAGGAGGTGTACATTTCCCATTCCAAACTAAAAGACAAATTGAAAGAGTTGGTATTACTTTGCTTCATTTAAAAAAAGAATGGTGAACGTAGATACAAGTATCTTGTCTTGGGTAGGAATAAATCCTACTTTGTAAAGAATCACTCTGATTCAAACAAAAAATTCTCTGAAACTGACATTATCAATATGCTTGATTTCTTGATTGACAACATATTTGTTACGTTTGGAGGACGAGTTTTTCACCAGACAGTCGGAATTCCAATGGGAACCAATTGTGCGCCTCTTCTTGCCGACTTGTTTCTTTATTATTATGAGACATACTTCATACAGGAACTTCTTAGGAAGAAAGATAAGAAGTTAGCAATATCCTTTAACTTTACGTTCCGCTATATAGATGATGTTCTCTCAATAAATAATACAAAATTTGGTGACTATGTTGAACGAATCTATCCCATCGAACTAGAGATAAAGGATACTACAGATACAGTTAAGTCTGCATCATATCTTGACTTACATCTAGAAATTGACAATGAGGGTCGGTTGAAAACAAAACTTTACGCCAAAAGAGATGATTTCAGCTTCCCCATTGTGAACTTTCCATTTCTATGTAGCAACATTCCAGCAGCGCCTGCATACGGAGTATATATCTCCCAATTGATACGATATTCTCGGGCTTGTATTTCCATGATTTCCATGATAGAGGATTGCTGCTCACAAGGAAGCTTTTAAACCAAGAGTTCCAAATGGTGAAGCTGAAATCATCCCTTCGTAAATTTTAAGGACGCCATCACGAGTTGGTTGACCGTTATGGAATAACCGTTTCACAGATGATATCGGATATGTTCCTTATGTCGTAACTACAATACCCTTCCCTTTTCACGAATGTGACCTGCCGAGTTAGACTATTTACCGGATTTGTAATAACATAAGCAACACGACGGGTGCCACATGTGGAACAGGATCTGCTTACCCTTCCGGAGCACCTGAGATCACCCCAAATTTTTGGTGGGGTTCGTGTTGCTCAGTCTTTAGTTTTCTATGTTGTGTCATGTCTGTTTGTCTTTTTATTTTTGGCCATGGCGTTGTCAGTTTGTTTTCGATCTATGAGTTTGACTGTCCCTCTGGTATCGTTCGTCCCTCTTTTCGATACGATTTACTTCATAAGCAATTATTTCATGAAATTCATCAAATATACTAGGCTTATAATTTGGTGTGCCAGACGCGCGTTCGTCTACCTAAGACCGCGTTCACACCAAACGTTGCGTACTGTAAACATGTTAACAGTAAGTTTCATGTAATGAAAACTAGTTTAACATCAAATTTGTTCTCATCTGTACAGCGGTTTTGATTACCTGCACATGAGAATTGTTCACACCAGTAAACTACATGTACACGCAATTAACATGTATATTACATATAAACTTTTGTAAACTTTTGCACCAGTTAGGCGCAGAAAAATTCATAATTGTTAAAATTCCAATTCTTTTTTAGAAAAACATATACTTGTTTCAGGAGGGAAGTGAGAAAAATCGTTTGATTCCATTGAAAAGTTATGGCAGGGGATTCAACATGGCGTTTTAAAACTTTTCCTGTATGTTAATGTAAAAAAAATGTTCGTTTTAAAAAAAAAAGTTTTTTTCCCACGAAGATGATTGGTCGGTACCATAAGAAAATCGTTTTATTGGTTTGGGAGACCTTGAGAGTTCTAAAGATGTCACGATTACGCAGGCTAAAGCAGCATAACAATAAACAAACAAAAAAAAAAGGATTTTTCAAATGACTTGATTGATTGATTGTTGTTTGCTTAACATCCAATGGCGAATATTTCATACATGTTCAGGACGAAAACAAATTCGCAATAAATGAAATGGGTAGATCCTGTAAAAGACGTCTTCCGGGATGAAGATCTGGGAAATTTGGACAGTCATTGGAAATTGAGAGTACATTGGAGAGCGACAACAATTTTGCCTAGCAACAGGCCACCTACAAACCAATCAAATGAATATTTTGATACAAAATGCAGGACTTTGCAAGAAATATATGTGAAAATAAATACGCCATATTATCAACAGGTATAAAATGAATATTCCATCAGCAAAAAATCTCGCTCCCACTGAAAATCAAATGGTCTACTAAAGCTATTTAAATTTAATCATGTTTTTAACTTACTTGGAATAGAATCTACCAATTAACTACCATCAACACCAAATTCTCTAAAAAAAAAAACAGAACAAATTTAGACATGAATAAGATAACTACTCATGAGACATATCGACTAATATGATTTTTGTTATATCTTTTGAAATGTAGCAATTATATGTATTTGAGACATATGAATGTACGAACTTGATATCGTTTCGTCACTATCTCTCCGCCTTCAATGATGATTATGATCTCTTCACGAAATACATACGAATAAATCAACAGAGAAATTAAACTTCCGTCCAAGAGTATTCATTTTGCAATCTCAGCATCCTTTAAAATGACGTAATAACCAATAAAAATTCCCTACCAGTAATGTTCCTTGAAGCAATTTCAGAATTGGCGATCCTGTGTTGGTTACGTTTGGGATTATATCTCTGACTATTAATTTAAAAATGAATAGAAGTAACAAAAGATATGACACTGTTAGATAGTGGTTATGAGATCAAACATTAATTTCATATGACTTTTCAAGGAATAAGTAAGTATAAAATCATGCAAAGATGTACAATTTCGTCTCAAATACGGGGATTTTTCTCTCGATCTCAGGACAAAACTTTTTTCAAACTTAATAGAAGATTAAAGAAACTATTTTCCATAATATAAATGAACACGAGTTTTGTTTTGGCAAAACTCAATTTTGTATTTGTTTATTCCATGAATTTCAATTTGTTCACCTCTCATATGATTTTTTGCTTACAATCAAGCAATTTATTAAAAAAAAAAAAAAGAAAAAAAAAAGGAGACTGTATAAGCATACTTTAAACGCCCAATTGTGAGACAAAGATTATTGTTTCACCGGCTATGTCATTTTTCATGTGACATGTACTTGTAAATCAAATTTCTCATTCAAGAGCTAATTACCGTGATGTTAAAAGTCGATCACCTTTGAGTGAAGGTCATTGAGCACTTAACTTTGTTATTAAACTTTGTCTTTTTGTTATTATAATTATCAAAAAATCCGAATACCTAAATTTAGATAAAAAGTTAATTTTGAAGTGGTATTTCTATGTGCTATTTTTAGAACATTTCAGTGATTATCGATGCAGTTAAAAGATCTCAATCAATTCGTTTTGTAAATGTTTGTTTCGTAAGTAAGATGTATACATTAAAAACGATTTTTAAGATTATATATTGTAACTGTTAAAGCACTGACTTTCAGACGATTTCACCAAATTGAGAGAACTGCCATAAAGCTATAGGGTCCTTTGAATTAATGTTTTTTTTTAAATTGACTGAATATATTTGAGGTAACATCATCAATAAACATTAACTAGTCAAAACATTTACTAAGTTATATCATCGGTACAAGGACATCATTCGTACATATAAATCAACATGCAGACATCTTATATACGTTCAGGTATTTCACATCCAATCTTTTATGGTAATATTCTATACAAAGCACAAAAATGTCGTCATTCACCTCAAAAGCTAACCAAACCTTCAAACAGACTTATTCAGAAGGGATTTAGTTATGATACTGTTGTCAGGTCATTAAAGTTGGCATATTTTGGCTTTAATATTGATTAAAGACCAAACAGCCTATTGTTGATGCGCATCAACTAACGCAACTTGGTAGTGACATAAAAGCTCTATGACGTTGTTTCTAGCCATGAAAAAAACGTCAAATTATTACGTCCTATTTCGCGTTTTTCACGGATTCCAACATGGTGTACGCTTAAAACTACGTCTTCCAAGAAAAGTGGAATTAAGCGTCGCACTGATACCTAGTGGAAATTAAATACAAATGGACACAAAAAATACTACACTATCTGTAACCTCCGTTCTAATAAAAATAATAATAAAAATATAAATTTTGAACTCGGCTTTTTGCATTTGCGCCTATCTGCATTTCACTTTTTTCTTTCATCACTTGCGCCGATTTTGTCTTTCATTTGCGCCGATTGTGTACAGGTAGATTATAGGTGAAAGTTATATTTTTATTTATCATATAAACCTCTTCCGTTAGCCAGTTGTACATATGTTATGAATTGTCAATTATAACATGTATATAACTGTTGTCCCCTGCTCACAAAGGGGAGATGGGAGTAGAATTTCGAGCAGGATAAGTCAATTTAAGAGATATTTGTGCACTCTGTTGACATCCACTAAAATCACGGAGTAAAATTATATTTACAGCATTTCAAAGCACCACAATAAAATCCATAAAAATTTAATACTAGTACAATTAATTATTATCTTGTCGAGAATTTATATGCCACACATCTGATGTATTCCTTTCTTGTCATTTTATCTTTTCTATACTTGTTGTACTTGCCAATAACGAAGTCCATCTTTTCTTTCTCGTGTCAAAACGAAGTTGTCGAACAATATGACAAAAATTATCTTAAACATTAGGGAACACTGTTTATATCCATATATTACCATGCAATATACATTCTAGATTTACTACATGTACATGTATTTACTCGTATAGCAAATAAAGTATCGGGGCTAGTGATAATAAAATTAAAATAGGCGCTAATGAAAGAATCAAATCGGCGCAAATTAAAGATCGATTTTTTTTTTAAATCGGCGCAAATCTCGTACGCCCGAGTAACTTTACACCGGTAAATTTATTTGACTTACGCTTAGAATTTTAACTTAATATGTGATTTTCAAAACTGAGTTTTCAGAAGGTTAGGCCGATAAACAATACTTTCTAGAAGTTTCGATATACTGGCAACGTATGCATGTTGAGATTAACTTATTTCTTTAAGATTCTGGTAAAATAATGGTGATCTTACAATGAAGTTTAATTTTATCTATACTGCTTAATTGACAAAATCTTATAGTAAAAATAAAAATGATAAAGGTTCGTTGTCTTTTGTCATTTGATTCATTTCAAATTGTCTCAATGAGAAATGATAAAGATTTCGCCTGATCTCACAGAAGCATACGGCAAAAAATATAAGAAATTAGTATACTCAGTGAATGTGAATTAAAATAAAAATTTACGGTTTTTAAAACTAAACTTGTTGTAAATTTAACTTATGACAAAAACAATTGCTTCAAGAATAAGATCCAACATAAAATTTCTCACTTTCAAAAAGCTACAATGACCGGAAAGGTTGAAAACAAATTTCGATTTTCAATGCCGGCAATCTATACATACAACCTTGTCTTTGTTTTAATTTCCAAAATGAGCTATTTAGATTCATAATATTTCATTCTGTTTTGAGAAATACTTTATAGTTTTCAACGAAAAATTATTTCTTAGATTCTAAATCAATTTTTGAATTAAAAACTTATTTGTATTTTATATTTACTGTCTCGTTTATTCAAAACACGTGAGGTAGTAATAACGGGGATCGTATTTTATGATAGGTTGAATGGATGTAAAACGTTTTAAAATCGAAAACTTTAATCCATATATTATACCTATAATTTTAATTTTCTTATATTTTAAATATTCAGAAATATTGAATCCACAAACTAGATGGAATAATTTGTATACGCTCGTCTTAGTCGGGACACATAATGGTATAAAGAAGTCCGTCCGTGCTAATGTCTGTAAACAGTAGCGAAAGAGTGCGCTAGGGCGAAGTTCTGAAATTGACGCGACAAAAAAAACCACACATCTAGCCTAATATAGTCAACTAGTCTGTAAGTTAGCCAGTGTCATCTTTCATTTCTCTTTTTATTTTCAATGATTTTGCTAATGAGAGGGAGAGGAAAAAAACAGACTTTCCGTTCTAAAGCGTCGTAAAAGGTTATTTCGAACATTTTTTCATTCCGACGGATGGTGTTTCTGAAGGTTAATTTTGTGCGGCAACAACATCATGAGATCTGATACTGATACATACATGTGATCTCTTGTATTACCGGATAATAAAGTAGGTGAATATAGTTGTTATTCTTGATTCTTGAAAATTTAAATGTGGGTTTCAAACGTCCAATTTGCAATTTTTTTCAAACAGTGCGCCAGCAAGGAAAACTTGTACTATGACGTCAGATTCAATGTTCTGAAGAAAGACAACTCTTTTCTTCAAAACGAACGAGAAAAAAAACATGAAAATTAATCATAACTTTTTTGAAAGGTCGGTGACATATACATTTTTTTGCTTTATTTTGAAGAGTACACATGGCACTTTCTTTCTTGAAATGTTTATGAAAAAATCACTGGTAGATATTTTTTAATACTTGAAACGTTTTTCATTCTTGCGTTTTATTTTTGGCGGGAATGAAATAAATCATATTTTTTAAGATCAAAACAATAAAGGTCTTAAACTCTTGAACCTGTATTTGATAGACACAAATCTACTTTTTAACACGAAACAAGAATTATGCTTGTAGGTTTGATATAATGGGATTTTTTGAGAGTTTAAATAACAAGCAAATATCATGTTAATATTCGGGAAAACACGAAACTGAGGTTGCTATAGTGACAAAACTAATTCGGTGACCCCCAATTTTTTTTATCATATTTTGTTCCTCAAATCATGAAATACCTTCACACAAAATTTTAAGGAAAAATCACTGGTAGAACTGAATAGGCTGTTTGGTCTTTAACTCATAGGGTCTTTGCATCGGAAATAAACACATTTATTCTGAAAACAGTTGTTGGCATGATACGGGTTATGTTCTTCTCATATATTTTATGATGGTATGATACTAAACCCCTAACGGGAGGGATTGTGCTTGATTTTCATATGATGAAGACATAATCTTTTAATCAGTTTAATTGAGGTCTGGAGCTAGCATGTCAGTGACTGCTAGTAGTCCTTTGTAAATTTATGTAGCATTGTCAGTTTGCTTAGTTTCTTCTGTTACCTATTCTGACATCGGACTCGGACTTCTTTTAAACTGAGTTTTACTGTACGTATTGCTGTGTTTGTTTATTCTACATTGGCTAGAGGTATAGGGGGAGGGTTGAGATCTCACAAAACATTTTAACCCCGCCGCATTTTTGCGCCTGTCCTTTGTTAGTCTTGTATGTTTTTTTTTTATTTAAGTTCATTATATGTTTCGGAGTTTAGTGTGAGGTCCATTTTCACTGAACTAGTACACATT